CCGCGGGAACCTCTCGCCCGTTGAGGCCGGCCCGCAGCCCGCGCTCGGGGCCGCCCCCCCGCCTGCCGCGCCCGCCGCCGCCGCGCCTCCAGCCGCCCCCGCCGGGCCCGTGGCCTCGTCGTCGGGCGGCGCTGTCTCTGGGGGCGGCGGCAAGAACCCGCTGGTGAAGCCGCCCTACTCGTACATCGCGCTGATCACCATGGCCATCCTGCAGAGCGCCAAGAAGCGGCTGACGCTGAGCGAGATCTGCGAGTTCATCAGCGGCCGCTTCCCCTACTACCGGGAGAAGTTCCCCGCCTGGCAGAACTCCATCCGCCACAACCTCTCGCTCAACGACTGCTTCGTCAAGATCCCCCGCGAGCCGGGCAACCCGGGCAAGGGCAACTACTGGACCCTCGACCCGGAGTCCGCCGACATGTTCGACAACGGCTCCTTCCTCCGGCGCAGGAAGCGCTTCAAGCGGCAGCAGCAGCAGCTCCACCCGCAGCCGCCCGACCTCCTCCTGCGCGCCGCCGCCGCCGCCGACCCGGCCGCCTTCCTCCCCGGCTTCGCCTACGGACCCTACGGCTACAACTACGGGCTCCAGCTGCAGAGCTTCCACCACCACCATCACCACCACCACCACCCGGCGGCGGGGGGCGGCGGGGCGGCGGCGGCGGCGGGGACTTTCCCCTTCCAGCCTCCGGCTTGCGCCCTGCCCACGCCGCCGGGCCCCGCCGCCTCGGCCGCCGCCCCGTCAGTCTTCTCCGGCGGCCTCTCGTCTTTCCTGGGCGGCGAGCTGAGCTGCAGGAAAGCCTTCTACCCGGCCGGCCAGCTCAGCCCCACCGCCTCCCTCCTGCAGAGCCTTAAGACGGACCAGGGAGCCGGCAACAGGCCTTCCTTTTCCATAGACAACATCATCGGAGGCGGCGCGGCCCCCCCACCGTCCAGTAGCACCACCAGCAGTGCGCCCGCTTCCCCTTTCCCGGCGGGCCACGGCGGCGGCCAGGCTCAGGTCCTAGCGATGCTCTCCCCGGCCCTGACGCCCATCCCGAACCATTTGAATCTGGCCCACGATTCCCTCCTGCAGCCGGGACAGAACTTTTCCAGTAAACTCACAAACCTCAACAGCTGTCCTTTTTAAAAGGCGACCCCTCACCCTGCCCCCTGAGCCCAGCCAACACCCCCCCCCGCCCCCTAGCCCTCTGCCTATTGTGTGTTAAAAGGTAGGAACTCTTCCTTTTTTGAGACTGTTTTGGTATCCGGATCGACGTGGGGTCTTTCTCCCTGCCGAACTGAGGTTGGTTTCTTAGCGGGTGGGAAAGCTTTCACCGAGATAACGTCTTTGAAAATACGGGGGGGGGGGGGGGGGGGCAGGTTTCGTGCAACTTCAACCAGTCAGCTAGGAATAGTTTTCTGTACTGCAACCCTCCACGGGGTTCTCCACGGGGAATCATTTTCCAGTGGATTCATTGGGTCTTGCTTCTGTGAAAGTGTTTAGGATCCAGGGTGCCCGGAGAACTCTGGTCCTCCAAAGATTGTCTTTGAGAGCCTAGCTGTAACTTCCGGGAAAGTCCCATAATGTTCCTCGGAGCTCCTCCGGAGAAAAATGTATCTTGTGCTTGCAAATCTGCAGATGGGGGAGAAGGTTTCTTAACTCCACTCCGTAGTCCAGTTCAAGTGCCAGACAATCTATCTACTCGCAGCACATCCTATACATGTTTCCTTGGAAGCAAGTCCCACTGAATTTACGTACTCCCAAGATTACAGTTTTAGGCCTTGAGTGGTGGTGGACCAGACCGCCCTTCACAAGAAAAGTAGCGTTGTTGATGCTTCTTTTTCTTTGCCGGCTCCCTATTTACATTTCTCTGAAAGAGTCCTTTTAAGGACTGGAGCACTTCGCTTGAATATCAGTGGGGAAAGTTAATATTGGAAGTCACAGTTTCCTAAAAAGGGGAAGTCAGGATATATATGTAAGATTCCAAGCGCACGTCTTAAACGACGGTGAGAGACCAGGAAGCCTTCCCTTACCCGGTCACCCGCCTCCTCTCCGCCCCTTCAACGTGTGTGTTTCTTGTGTATCTGGACTGATTTGTGTGTATATATTGTGCGCCAGAGCCTACTTAACCTTTCTCCCCTACTTGTGCACCCTTCCTATTTTATTGAAAGAATTGTGGATAATTTGATGTGGAAAAGGCAACGTAATTTTTGTCCACCTTTGGTGTAAATTAATAAATGTTTGTGAACTCTTTTAAAAGAAACCCCGTCGGTTTTGCTATTCGCTGTCTTAATTACAGGAAAAAAGAGGGAGGGAGCAGAGTGCTACAGTCCCAAACTAAAAATGGAAAATCTTCGGTTGGATAAATAATTTTAAAAAAAAAAGTAACCGAGGTGGAGTTGCTTAAAACTTTGCAATATAGAGGCCCAAACGCTCAATTTTCCCCTATAGGGCTATTAACCTAGGCTTAATGGACGATAATTTTAAGGTAATTTAAATTAAACTAATAATCCGTGTGTTCGGTGGCAACCCACAATTCAGTTAAAGTTGGATCTCTGTATCAAGTAGATCAACTTCGGCTGCGATCCCTTAGCTACTTAGCTTGAACCCAACGCCCTTGATATAAACAAGACAAAACAGTTAAGCCCGAACTCTTTGGAAACTGAGTTTCCTGTTGGAGAGAAAGGCAGGCTATTAGCAAAATCACCAGAAATCGGACTTTTGCTTCCTTCTCTACTAATTAACGCTCAGATTCATCCAGGTCAGGGTTTCATATATGTAGGTGCTGCCCTGTCTGTTTCTCTTTTAAACAGTTTCAAATCTAAAGCCCTTGAGCTGACTTTTTAAATACCATGCATCATACTCTTCAGTTCTGGAGGTTACGCTTGGCAACCAATTAGACTCTTGTTTTCGGAAAATACTCGAAGTTGCCAGGCAGTTCCTAAAGGAGGAAAATTATACTCCCACTCCCCTTTTTGTTTTGGTTGGAAATGTTGACACATGGAAGAAAGGGGGAGGGAGAGGCAAGAAATGGGTTTTACTCCTCAGCCTGAAGGACTGGATTGACCATCTGAAACCCGAGATCCCTGCCTTAATTTGTGCGAGAAAAAAGGGCTACAAAGTAAACAGACGTTCCTCCTTGTGCAGTCCTTGCCCTGAAATGTCTTTATCTTTGCGGCCAAATTTGAAAATGGGCTGTTTTAATATATTCTCTTAATCTCCCGGCCAGCGGATGCCTTGTCAATTTCTCAATTAAACGGCTCTGAAAGGAGGAATAAGTGAATGAATCAAATCAAAGCCCCCTTCTAAAATATTCATTTACTAGCTTTTACACGCCTCTAATGGACTCTCTCATAGAGATCGGTCTATGAAGATGGGGAGGGGGGTAAAGAAGAAAGACGGATTCTTGTAGCATTTTCTCCATCTGTCTTTCAATCCCGCCTCCCCGCAAGCCTTCAACCGAGTTTGTTGATGTTGTTGCTTGAAAAGAGTCTTGCCCTCCCTGCAGGCCCAGCGAGCGGTCTCGCGTCTCCCTCTGGCCCACATTTGCTTTTGAAAAGCGATCCCCTGTCAGACACTTGGTCGTCCCCTTTCATGTCCAGTCCTCACAAAAGAGACTACAAGGCAGGACATGGAAAGCGGGGGGGGGGGGGGGGGGGGGGGGGGGGGAGAGACGAGAGGGAGGCCAATGAATCTATTTTCCAGATTGCTGAGCACATGGTTGCAGTTGGGAGGGAGAGGCGAAGCTCTTTCTGCTACCTTTCTCCCCCCCCCGCCCCCCCTGCCGGGACGCGCCATCTTCTCTTTAGTCCCCAGGAGCCTGTCCAAATTGTTTGACGGCTGTGAAGAGCTCGTCCCCAGAAGGGTGGTCGGCCCATTTCTACCGGTGGACTTTGATTCCCTTTGCTTGTAAGCGGAATGACTTCCCTCTCCGCTCGCTTTTTCTGCAACCCTGTGGTTGTAAAGCGCTGGGGAGAAAGTGCGTGCGTGTGGGACTGTGCATTTCAAAGTTGTGTATGCACCACCCCTCCCCCCCGGAATAGGAAAGAAAGCTATTTCAATCGGTCGATGATTTGGTAGCAAGCAGCTGGCTTCGAAGATGCAGTTTGGATTAAATGGGATTCATCAGGCATGTGAAATCAATTTTAGGACCAATATGTAGATTTTTCTTGGGGATTAGGGAGACGAGTAGCATGGACCACACCACTTCCCTCGCAGTGCTCGGCTTTATATTGATTGACGCCGAGATCCTAAAGGAGTTGGCTGGCAAATGGATCCCAATTAATACATTTCGAATTGTTACGTTTAGGCACGCTTGAAAACTAATTCCGTTGAGCTCAGTGACCCTGGCAGCGCAAGATTCTCCATATTTACACGGAAGTAAGCACCTCTGACTCCGGTGAGGCTTCCTTCCAAGTAAGTGTTCCTAGAAATGAGTTCCTCACGCCCAAGTCCCTCTGGCAGCTATTTTCGCTTTAGGAATGGAATTCCGAACTAGTCCTGCAGTGGCGATCTAAGGACGCAAAGAGTTGGCCTCTTCAGCAGCTGCCGGGTAAACTGAAATGTGCACGAAATGGGAGGCAGGAGCAGGACTTGGAGTTCAGGGGTTAAAGGTTGTAATGCCTAAGCAGCTTATTCCAGAGCCGGAGCCTCGGTGGAACAATTGCAAAGTAAGTGGCCTGAAAATTGACTGCGGCCCTGCAGAGCCCTCGGCCTGAATCGGAGAGAGGCCTCGGGGCTCCAGCGAGGGGAGCTTTAAGGGCCACCGCACACCTCGCGCTCCCTGGGAAACCAGCGCGGTTGGTTGGAAACCCGGGAGGCTTTGGATTAGGTGACGCGATGGGGGGGGGGCGGGCTTTATGCCTTTGCTTTTGTAAATTCTAGGCTGAATTTCAACAGAAACCCAACTGCTATAGCTCGGTAGTAACAGAACTCGCTGGGACCGTCAGATGTGCGTGTGCGGGGATGGCTTCGCCTTTGCCAAAAGGTTCCATATCTCCCCCCAAAGAGTTTCCAAACAAGCGTGTCTGCGCTTGTGATAACATCTTTCACGTGCGAACGCGATAACGGGAGAGACAGGGGCTTTCAAAACAATCCACGAGTCTTCTCTGTAGTCCTGTTCATGTTAGAAATGCACCACCTCGAAAAAGGCAGTTCGAGTGAAGGGGGGGGGCGAGCCAAAAACGGCTGCTATTTTAGGGTTGGGATTTTTTTGGGGGGGGGTTTCTTGCTTCAGGTTGGAAGGACATGGTCAACAGGCATTTCTCGGGGAAATAGTTTGATTCCACCTGGTCTCCCGCCTGCAGAGAGAGAGAGAGCTTGAGTTCCCCCCCCCGCCCCTCCCCAGTCTCGCTTAATGGTCTCTGTTTAAATTTTTTTAGATCAGCGCACATTTCCCCGGCGCAAACGCTCTTCTTCCACAGAAGACGACAGGAGTTTTAAGGGCCCTTGTGCTTTTATTGGCAAACCGGGAGGACGGCTCCTGAAGATCACGGAGGAAGTCTTCTCTCCCCCACCCCCTCCGCAGATCTCAGTTTCTACCTGTCTCTGAGGGTCCCAGGGACGGGGGTTAAGAACCAGATGTGGAATGATTTGACCCCCCGGAGAGTCTCCTTCTCTAAAGGTACCCCACGCCATGGCTTCGAATGAAGGGGGTTTATGCCTGTTGGGGCGGGAGGGGGGCTTGATGGTAGCGGAACCTTCCACAGGCATCTTTTCTCATGTCTCCCGGTTCGTGGAAAGGCTGGCTTCTCTGTCGCTGGCTATAGAAAGGAGACGAATCTGGAAATTTTTCCTTCAGGAAAACCACTTTGGTGATCTTGACCCATTAGTTTCCTTTCTGCTAGAGTTTTGACATTGGAGGATGGTTATGTTGCTAAATCTGTGGCAGAGTATGAGCTTTCGTGAGTCACTGCTCACTTCTTCACAGCAGTGACTCACGAAAGCTCCTACCCTGCCATACATTTTGTTAGTCTGTAAAGTCTACTGGACTCCCGCTTTGTCCTGCTGCTGCAGACAGAATGACGGGGCTACCCCTAGGCCCCGTCACACAGGCAGGATATGTGGGGGGAGGCGTGGCTAATTGCCCCGGCGCAGTTTGATCCACGATTACCCAATCAGACGCGCTGGCGGCACACCACGAGTTCTTCCCTCGGCGCCGGGAGACCGGAGGGG